AGGGACCTACATTTTTTCTTGCATGTAAACTGTCTCTTTCAATAAGTTGACGAAGCTTCATGTCATCACATATCGAATTTTGACCACTATACAAACGTTCAAGTTCATTTTGTGAATTACTATTATGTGGTGCGAGGAGTTTCATTTTTATTTCTTTTGTTGTTTGCTTATCTGCTCGATGGTTTGTAATTGCAAGATCACATGCTTCTCTACTTGAATTAATTCGAGATAATACAGTTGTTTCTCGAATAATATTTGGTGAAATATGATTACCTTTAATAGACATGCCTATAAAAAATTCCATTTCAACCTCAGAAAGCATAACCTCTATAAGAATTTGTACACTACATTTGTGTATATCAAAAGGATTCTTGAGGTTACGTTGATCTGAATAGTAATTACATGTTTCCATACATTTGCCAATCCCACCACACGATCTTTGGCAGCAGCCTTCACCGGAACAAAACCAGATCCATCGCCAAACATTAATATCACTTTTGTTTCCTGCATGTATTTGTTGGACTCGATATTTTCCATTTTCAGTAAGTCATAGAAAATTATCAAGGTGGTTTGTTGATTTACTTTCACCTTTTTTAGTCTTCCATCCAAGATAGTCAACAGAACCTTCTACGCGCTCAACTATCACAAGTCCTTGTTTTATCGCTTCATTTACTCGTTTTTGGCTTTGGACTTTATAACGGATATTTTGTGATATGGGAAGCGAATACAGGTAACGTTCTACTGCTTGCCCAAATAGTAGTCAAACATTGCCATTACTATCTATACGGAAAGGATGGGAAGTCATTTTGTATAAAATTAATTGTATATTTATTATCAGGTGATAAACTATCTTCTCGTAGTCTAATCAAAGGCGAGTTGCAGTAGGAAATATAACTTGTATTCTTCAGTTTTCGCTAGGCAAAAAGATTTACACTCTTTATTATTTTGCCTTTTATATAAAATATTTATTATTACATAATTTTACTTCATAACTTTAATATTACATTGATTACAGATTAATTATGCTAAACTTCAATATACTTTCAGTTTATTACAGTCTAATTACGCAGTAATTTCAATTTATTACAGACTAATTATGCCGTAATTCTAATTCCGACCATATAGTAGTGATTTTGGTCATATTTCATTTTAATAAAAGACTGAAATAGTATTGTTGTACTACATGCATGAGTCAAAAACGATATGTATTTTTTTTTTTTTTTTTTTTTTTTTTGGGTTGGGTCAAAAAAGATAGATCAGGTAGGTCAAAAACAATGTTTTTGCTAAACAAATAGTAAAAATAGAAAAAATAATAAAAGAAAATAAAATAAAAATAATAACAAGGTTCAAGGATTTATATTGAGGAAGTTTGTTTATATTGTTTATGTAGTTTTAAAAATTAATATGTTAGTTACAATACAAAGTTTTTATACTGTTATCATAATTGCAAAGCTTAATTAACAAATGAGTTTCTTATATTGCTTGTGACAATATGATGCTTAATTATAATATAAGATTCTTGCATTAATAGATAGTAAAAATATTTTTTACAGATTAAATTATGTGATAATTATAAATTTGATATATTGAGGTTTAAATTTAATATAGTTGGATCATAATCATTACATATTTTAAATCTGTAAACAATAATTTTTTACTATCTCTATTTGTACTACTATTGCAATTGCAAAGTTTAATCATCAAATAGAAAGTTCTGCATTGTATTTAGCATTAATAGAGCCTAATTATAACACGAGGTCTTTGCATTTTATTATAGTGTGAAGCTTATTTATGAAATGAGATTCTTGTATTTTTATCATAGTTGCAAAGCTTAATCACCAAATATAGAAAGACCTCTCTAAGTATATCCTCTATGAATACAATCTTTATATAAAATTTCTTTAAATGTATAGTATAATTTAGTCTCAGTTTATAATTGCACTATATATCTTTCTTTCTATAAATATACACCCTCTCTAAGTACATATTTTTAGAATTTTTCACTATACCCTGAGAGAGGTGTATTTAGAGAGAGATTTCTGTATAAAGTTTTTGCACTGCCTATAGTAGCCAGGTTTTTTGGTAGTGGATAATAATCAGTAATATTATGATTTTATTTTTAGCTATATACTTATTTTCTAGATTAATGATAGTTTCTGACTGGTATCATGTGAGAAATAATATAATAATTACTAGCATGCCTTATATTGCTTACACAATGCATTTAGAGTTTAAATTTTATTGTATTTAGTGACTAAATATAAGTAAATAAATAGATAAGATTATAATAATTTTGAATCAAACTAATTTATAGATATTAGATTTAATGTTATATATAATAGATAGAGCATAATAGATATTAAGAGAGAAAAAATTATTAAATTTTGTGGTTTACAAAATTATGTTAAATTTAAAGATCAATAAAAAAAAAGTAATCACTAATAGCACAATTATTGGGTCAGATTAGTGGATATAAAATGAAAGTAAATAAAAAATACAAATTTAGTATATTTTGTAAAATAAAGTATATTTCATGCCAAATATTGCAAATCTTTTTTTTGACTGATTAGATTTAATTTTTTATATGTAAAGAAAATTGCATTAGTAGACACTTTATTTTGTAAAATAAAGTAATATAAATAATTATCATTACATTATTGTTCTTAATAATTTAAGAGAAAAAAGCTTTTTAATTTAAGATTTTCTGAAGTATAACATTGTACGTATTTTGGTATATTATGAGGAAATATGAATTATTATTTTTTATTGCGTATATAGATTAAAATTAATAGATATATGTATAAAAATTCATAAGGTTTATAATGAAAAGCCTGTCAACAAAGTAATAGCAATCATTATTGTAAAATATATCTGAAATCTGTGACAGGTATTACAGTCAAGTGGAAGAGCTTTGGAATATAAATTTGATTTAGCTTCAATTGTGAACAAAATGGTATTACTTCAGAATTATTTAAATCACATAATATATAATAGAGAAATTTAAGAGCAATAGTAAGGTTACAGGTTTAAGGTTTTAATTAATACTATAATTAACTTTGAAATTAGGGGTAATAGTTTCTCTTTATTAATATTTCTCTCAGAAATTTAATACATTGAATTATATTCAAGTACAAATGCAACTAAAACTGCAAACTATTGTGAGCACTAATTAATTTTTCTGGATACTAAAACCCTATTTATTTATATTCTTTAACTTTTTTTAAAGCTTTAATCCTTCGATTGGAGCTTTAGTCACTCGATTAGAGCTTTAGTTACTTGATTGAAGCTTTAATCACTCGATTAGAGCTTTAATTACTCGATTGGAGCTTTAATCATTCAACTGCGCCATCTTAATCTTTCCCAAAATAAAATATATAAAATAACAATAATGATAATATAATACTAACTAAAAAAGAAAAAATGTAAAGAATAAAAATAAAATAATAATAATAAAAAGTTAGTATATAATATTATCACTCGCTTGAAAAAATGAGCTCTGTCAAATCATCTAACAATTGATATAATTTTTCTTGTCTTCAAAGCTGAGCTTCTGCCAATAATCTATTAAAAAAATCTTTATTGTATATTTTTCAAGAATAGTGATATTAATATACACTACTAAATACAAATACTCTTCTCTTCTAGTAGTAAACAACTGGTATACTCTTTTTGAGATTTTCTATACTGTCTTTTCTTTTTTCATGTTGAAATATGAGTTGAATTCTTTTCTGCTAGCATTGTTTCACCCTTTTTCAGCCAAAATGGTTTCTATTTGATAATAAAGTTTCAAGATTTGAGAATTGAACTTCATTTGCATTTTTAAGTTGAGTATCGCTTGACAAGAATAGGCTAATTTTTCATTCCAATTTTCACCAAGAATCTCAGGAGGAAGAACAAGATCCTTCAGTTCTTTACGATCCAAATCTTGAAGGTAAATAAATATACTTTCTCAGATTCTTTTAGCAGAAATTTTTCTTTCAGAGCAGACAACATATTTAGTAATTTCTAGTCTGACTATTCGAAGCATCACATAGTCTCAATCTAAAAGTATAAGTTCAGCTGGTTCTAAAATGGCTACTAGCTTTTGTACTTGAGACCTGATGGATTCAAGTCGATGCTCTATTTTGTTGCTTGATTGAATAAAGTTAAAAATTTTTCAGTAATTCTTTACCTCTTTATAGTTTTTTTTTATTTATTTATTTATGTATTTATTTATCGCTATTATAGGTTTTAGAGGTAAATAATGTAATATTTTGGTCAATATAAGGTTTTAGTTGATCTTTGTATACACTTTCTACTAATACTTTTCCATCTATCATTCTTAACTTATATATTCTATTTCCAAATACTTCATGCACCTAATAGGGTCCAAGCCATCATGGTTCTAACTTTCTACTTTTTGGATATCAAGTTTTGCTCTATATCACCAAACCTTATTTTCAATAGAAAACTATATAAAATATATGGTTATCGTAATTTAACTTCTGTTTTTCCTGAGATCGTTTGATATTTTCTAATTCTATGGCTCGAGCTTCTTTTAAATTATTTATAAGGGTTACTATCCTAGCAAAACTTACTGATTGTATTTTTTCTTCACCTATCTCTTCAGTAGGGTATGTAATTACATCTAGTTCAATGAGTAGTTGGGCTTCTCTCCTATAAACTAAATAAAACAGCTTATATTGAGTAGTATTATAGCATATTGTATGATACATAAATAATGCTAATTGAATAAATTTATCTCAATCTTCTTTATACTGAAGCATATATTTTGCCAATATTTTACACAAGATTGATTAAATCTTTCAACTTGTCCATTTGTTTGTGGATGATAGCTTGATAATATCATATGCTTGATTTCTAAGCTTCTACAAAGATCTTCAATTAGCTTATTTTTAAAATGTATGCTTTGATCTGTAACAATTTCTTTTGGATATCAATGTCTGCCAATAATATCATCTACAATAAAAGAAGCTACTAATTTTGACATACAATCAGGAAGCACTCTAACTTCTGGCTATTTTGTGAAAAACTTTGTTGCTACAATTAAATATTTATTACCCTTTTTGTTTGGGGTAGTGGTCCAACAAAGTTGATTTCAATTCGGTCAAACAGTTGCACTGGGTTATTGGATATAGAGATTTTTAAACAATACGTTAGCCTCTTTGTTGACAAATTTTACACCTTTTTATGAATTCTTTAACATCAGTAATCATCTGTGGCCAGTAGTATTTTTTACAAATTTTTTGAATTGTAGCTTTTTCTCCCATTTGTCCTTCAATCGCACTTTCATATATCGCTTCTAAGACAATTCTAACTTCATTTTGACATACCACTCTCCATAGATTTTCTGGTTTCTTCCTATTCTTTCTATATAGGATGCCTTTTTGAACTATAAAGTACTGAGCTTGGTACTTGAGCTTTCAAATTTGTGTTTGATCAAATTCTGCAGATATAGTCATATCAGTAAGGTAGTTTATTAGATTCTGATAATTTTTTTCTTCTATTTTTTTTGTTTTTATTTTGTTTGTACCAGGACCCCAAAACCTGGACTAGATTCTGTACTACAGATTTGAAAGTTTATTATTATTATTATTATTATTATTATTATTATTATTATTATTATTATTATTATTATTATTATTATTATTATTAT